CATGACAGCCCCTCAGAACTTCGGAGAGGGGACTCAAGACGGAGCACATCTGCCCAGAGCACCATCCTCCTGTCCCTCGGCCTCCCCTAATTCAGCCCTAGACCCACCCGGGTCCCTGATACCTCCCCCTGCCTCACCTACCACGCAACCTGCCCCCTCGGCCGGGGTCTTTTCAGTGTTTCACTAACACCACCCCCAACCCAAGTCCCCTGAGCCACCCCTCCTGGTCACCCACCCAGTTCTCCGGGCTCCCCAGGACCGTCTTCCCGCCTTACACTCCCACACTGCAGACCTCCTCGGACCCCAGTGCTGGCTTCTTGCTCCTCTTCCCCAAGCCCCAGCCTGAGCTCAGCTGTGGCCTCAGGCAAGACAGCCCTCTCCCCACCCCTTTCTTCCCCTGCAAAACAGCCACGTGACACTGGGACGCTGGTTCATCTCCCTCCCCTCCAGAGCCATGCACCCTGGCTACAGTCCTCCACTGCATCCAGAATAGTCAAGGTGGTCCCTGGGGGATCTGCCTCCAGGAAGAGCCCCCTCCCTGCTCCACCCGTCCTTCGGGAGGCCGATGACCCATCTTTGCCCTGACGAGCAAAATAAACTAAAGCAGAAATCGAAACGGCCCACAAAACTGTGCCAACGGCTTGAGCGACCAGCCACGGCGGCCTGAGGTGCTCCAGCCCTGCCCCCTCCCTGCTCAGAGCCCCCCCACCCGGCCCTGGCCACCCCCGCCAGCAGCACGCCTCACCTGCTCCAGGCTCTCCACGTCAGCCCGGAAGCCGGACAGCAGGGGCACCTCGAGGACGGCCATGTTGGAAGACCCTGTGTGCAGCCACCTTCCCAGAGAGGGGAGGGGGCGGGGACCTGAGGAGGATTCATGGTCCCCCTTGTCCCCTGGAGCCCATGGCTGATGTCCTGTTGAGGTCTGCCTTGGGCCCGGCCACAGTAAGGCCGGTCAGCTTTGTCAGTCCATTTTATAGTCTGGACGCCACGGCCACAAGGAAAGGGCCTCACCCAAGTCTCCCCATGGGGGACCGTGGCCTGTCCCACACCCCACCCTGGGAAGCAGCTGGGGGCCCGACTTGGGGTGTGTCTCATGGGGGCAGCAAGAGCCCAGATGCCTGACCACGCCTGCTCGGCCGGGGACCCCAGGCCGTCACTCCCCAGCTCTCTCCTTCCGTGGCTTGGGCTCCCTGGGGGCTTGTCGCCTGCCAGGTGCTGGGGCCAAGGACGGGGAGGCCGAGGTTCAGAACAGAAGGCAGGCTGTGAGCCACGGGCACACAGCCCCTGGGGGGCCGGGAGGCCAGCCCTCTACCTGGGTGGCCCACAGTGGCACCCTCCTAACACGTCTCAGGGAGCAACCAAGGGGTCCCCAGCAGGGCTGGGGGCCAGGCTGTTGGGTCTGGTCCAGCTTCACCCCCTGCCCTGCCTGCATCCCGAGTCTCACAGTGGACCCACCGCCTGGTCCTACTCACCAGACAGAACCTCCCACGGCAGGGACTTGGACATGTGAGGGCTAAGGAGGGGCAGTGCTGGGCAGCTCACGGGTGCCGTGGCAGCACTCATCATCCACCCACCTCTGGGCTCCCGACCTTCAGGGTGGCCACCTTCATCTCTGAGGGTGAGGGTCCACTGTGGCTGGGTCCCAGGCTCCCTGCCCTCATTCTGGTGTCAGGCGGGGACCAGCGTGCCAGCCTC